TCGGGAGGCTGAGGCAAGAGGATCACTTGAACCCAGGAAGTGGAGGTTGCAGTGAGCCGAGATCGCACCACTGCACTCCAGCCTGGTCAACAGAGTGAGACTCCATCCCAAGAGAAAAATAAAAATAAAGTTGTTCTCTGAAGAGCAAATGTCTAGAAACTCTTCAGTTTTAAAAGATTAAGTTATGGCTACCCTTGTCTGTTAACTGTTATTCAGTCATTAATCCTTTGTCACCTTGGGTAGTTTATAACAGAATCCAGAAAGTCAGTTAAACATTTATTTCCATTTCATGTTCTCTGTAGCTTTATTTAAGGCATATCATTTACTAGTCTTTATTTTTAGGTACAAATTTTTCTTCTATTTTTAGAAATAAAGGTAAATATAATTTAAAATACTTTGGGGACTGGGCGCGGTGGCTCATGCCTGCAATCCCAGCACTTTGGAAGGCCGAAGTAGGTGGATCACCTGAGGTCAGGAGATAAAGACCAGCCTGACTAATATGGTGAAACCCCGTCTCTACTAAAAACACAAAAAGTAGCCAGGCGTGGTGGCATGCGCCTGTAGTCCCAGCTACTCAAGAGGCTGAGACAAGAGAATTGCTTGAACCCAGGAGGCGGAGGTTGCAGTGAGCCAAGATCACACCACTGCACTCCAGCCTGGGCGATAGAGCGAGACTCCATCTCAAAAATAAAATAAAGTAAAAAATAAAATAATTTGGTATGAATATTGCAAAAATAGCAAATAATCCTCTTTAAACAATGGTTACTAGTCATCTTCTAGCTAGCATAGAGTTGTCCTTTTGCTGGTAAAATTGCTTTAAGTCTTCCCAGAGAGCCATGTCTTTCACAGTCTCAGTTCTAATATTCCTTATCTAAACTACATTCTGAATTGCAAAAACACTTGCAAGCCTGCCTTATATTTTGTTATACTATGTAGTTTAAACATGTTATATAACATCCATCTAATGCAGACATTGATTTTTAAACAATACAAAATGAAATTGATCAAAAAAAGAAGTTCAGAGCTAAGCATAGAAACAGAATTAGCACAATAATGATTAGGAATTCAAGTCTTTCTGCCATGTTAATGACCTTGGTCTATTTATTTAGCTTCCTTCTCACATCTGTTAAACTGGCTATAATACCTACTTTAGGAAGTTGTTATTAGGATAAATGAGATAATAAATATGAAGTATTTAGCAGTGTGCCAGACACATGGTAGGTGATCTACAAATTATATCTAATAATAATGTTGTTGAATTATAATAAAAATGTATTTTTCTTGCTATTTTATAATTTTCTTTTTCTAGAATATGTTTAGGTAGTAATAGATAATATTGTGTTTTAAAATATAAATTATAATAATATAATATCTCACATGATTTCACTTAATGAGTAGCATTGACCAAATTCAGCTTTTATAAGATACGTTAAATAACTTCCCTGGAACTGCTAATGTGGTTTCCTGCAGTAACTTGATGTATGATGCAGTAATGAGCATAGAATTAGCATGTAAAACAAGGCCATTTTATACCCCTTCTAATTGCCTTATTTAGTTAAGTGCCAAATGCTACAATATAAAGGTTCTAGTATACTGTCTCTAAAACAGGAAGCAAAGTTCTAATGGGATTTCTTTTCTAATTCTATTTTTTAAGATCTTTAATCTATTAAGTCCTGATAGCTTTGCTGGTAAACTCAATGTGTTTTACTCACCTTTGCATTTCTAGCAGCACCTAGCACATAGCAAGCATTTGGCAAACAAAATTACTCAAGAGGAAGCTGAGAAGACATTTTTACAAGTTAATATGATGAATTTAATTGGTATTTTCTTTTCTCTAAAATGTCTACAGTCTGGTATTTCTGCCTTTCCTTTTTTCACCTCACTTCTATAAAACTACCAGTGCCTGAATAGGAGAGCTACTATTGCTCATTACAAGAGTATTGTATGAGGCCTTAAATGTTGTAAGAAATATATATATATATGAGAGAGAGAGAGCACCATTTATATGTGTCCATTACTTTCCTATTTATATATTGGACTCTTTTGAAATATGCTTCAATTTGTAGAAACCACAAAGGTTCTTTTTAACATACTGACTTCGTACCCTTCAGATTAGCATGCTATCCAAGTATCCTGTATAGAAACCTTTCAGCATTCACAATGTTATCTCCCCCACTTGAGATAAAGAGAAAATAAGAATGAAAATAGAACCACATAGGGAAGGGAAGGAATAGTTAAAAGATTTAATTCTGCCATAGTATTTTTCTTCCTGTCAAACATACAATTTGAACTGCAGCCAGTTTTTATATGTTAAGTACTGCCATTCTGTCCTTTCTCCATGGCTACTGATGAATATTTTTAAGACAAATTTTTAAAAAATACAGAGAATAGGATTCCAGGATGGGCCACATAATTTGTGAGACCTAGTGCAAAATGAAAATGCCAAGCATTTCTGCAACAGCAGAGCATAAAACCAAGTGTAGGCCCATGTGCAACTGCACAAGTCACCTTCCCACAAAGCTGGCCCTGAAGGGTTCCCTATTTCAGGGGAATGATCTTCCTGTTGGCACTTTGCCTAGCAGCTTTTCAGAGTAAATACCTTCATTGTATCTAAGAGCATTGAGACCTGAACATCAGAGAGAGTAAACAGATGTGAACTCTCCATCATGGCCATGCAGCTAGACTAACCAGTGTAATTACTGATCATTGTAAGATGGTCAGCAAGGTAATTCAATTAAGAATAATGAGATAATTCATACCATGAGTAGGATTCCAGCATTTTGAGGGTTGAGAAAGCAGCAGAGGAGGAAAAAGCATTTATTGGGTGTCTTTTTTGGATAGGAACCATATTGGACTCTTTTTAATGCATTATCATGTCTTAGCCTGTCAGCCATATAAAGTAATCTTTATTAGCTCATTTCATTTTCTATCTGAGGAAGGTGAATCTCAAGGATATAAAATAACTTGTTTATAGTCACACAGCAATCATTGGCAGTGTGGTGATTGCCCACATCTGTCTTCAGATGAAGCCCATGTCCATTCCATGGGTATTGGTACCATGAGGCTGTGTGTCTATCTTTAGGGGCTGATAGACACAATAAACGTGCAGACTTGAGAAGCAGATGCCAAAAGCACTAGCACAATTAGGGAAATTTAACATGACAGTTTCTTTAGTGTAAAGAAGCTGAGCCCAGCACAAAGTGAGGCCATGGACCAAAGACAGAACATAGTAAATAAAAAGAGAGTTCTTATTATCTTGACCAGACAGGAGAAACTGTTGTGAAGGGAAAATAAATCTCAGGATCCCCAAATCACTAAGCCAAGGGAAAAGTCAAGCTGGGAACAATGTCAGTCAAACCTGCCTCCCATTTTATTTCTAAATAAGATAGCTACAAAGATAAGAAGCTACATACCTCCCTCACATTTTGCCCATAAGGAAATACGTTGTGGACAAAGGACAGACAGAACTCAAAGTCATTCCTCTGAGGCTTACCTGAGACAAATGCATATCTGATTGTTTCCTGTGCCCTCTTTGCTTATATAAAAATGCAGATTCACTGAGCCAGACTAAATTGTGTATTCAGTGGAAGGCTAATCAAAGACTCAAAGAATGCAACCTTTTGTCTCTTATCTACTTCTAACCTGGAAGCCCCCACTTCCAGTTGTCCTGCCTTACAGGACTGAAGCAATGTACATCTTACACATATTGATATATGTCTCATGTCTCTCTAAAATTAAAGCAAGCTGAAGCATGTACCATGGGTACATGTCATCAGGACCTACTGAGGCTGTGTCATGGGCATGCCCTTAACCTTGGCAAAATAAACTTCCTAAATTGACCGAGATTTGTCTCAGATATTTTGAGTTCACACTGTCTACCTCACAGTAGACTAATAACAGTGGCTACAGAACAAACGTAACATGTTGGAGATGGATAGATGATAATACCTTGATTGCAAAATAGTAGTTCCTCCTATAGTTAGAGCAAAAAAAAAAGTTTCAGATGATGAATACTGGGCTTCAGTAAATACAATGAGAGTCTGTGAAGCATCTGAGGGCCAGCATATTTTAGGGCAGTATGGTTCAAGCTTCTTCATTCATGTTCCACTTTCTTCATGATTTTGCCATTTGTAAGCCTTAAAATACCATGATAGCTGTAACACATATTTTAAATTTATTATTTCATACAGTTAGCATGAATGGATTTATCCTGACAAAAGCACTAGCTTTCTGTCCTTAGTAAAGCCACTCTACTAATTGTTTAAGCTCATTTGCTCTTCAGTTCATTCAACTAATATTTATTGAATGCTTTGTATTTTCTAGGATTTGTCTACCTGATCTAGGTGGTAGGTAGAGGTGGAGGGAAAAAGATAAGAAGACAGAGATGAGTAGGGCATGGTACCTGCCTCAGAGGGATTCAGAATAAAATAGTTTCACAGTTTCAGATTGTTCATAGAATGCTGAGAAAGCAGGATTGAGATTTTGCCTGGAAGAGATGGGAAACTTTATACAAAGTTGAGCAGGAAAGTCTAGATAAATAAGTAGGAAGAGTTTGTTAAGCATATTTGGAAGATTCATCTTTCCTGGATCTTGGCCAGACTTTTTTTAACTTTTCTGACCATGAATTAAAAGACGTCGAGATTTTTTATAGTGTTCAGTTCAATCTTATGGCTGTAATCAAGAGGTTCTCAGATTAAGTTTGTTTAACCATCATTTTTTGTAGGTATGGTAAGTCAAATAATAGAAACAGTATAACCATAACTAATGAATATTTTGGCATATAGTTCTTACATTCATAATTTAGAATATAGGTGTGTTGTGTGTAAATGTGTTTTCATTTCACCTGAATTTCTTTGTACAGATTTTACAGAATAAAATGCCAGTTACTTTCTTCTACTATTTCTTTTATTTTTCCTTGTAAAAACATTATTACAAAAGGTGATTTATATGTTACTTACAACACGTATTTACCACAGCTATTTTTCTTTTTGTGCTACCAGTGTAAAACTCTTTCTGGAGTCTGTGACCACATCATATCCCTGTCATCAGATCCTCTGGTTTCACAGTCTGCTCACCTGGAAGTGATTCAACTAGCAAACATCAAACCAAGCGAAGGGCTGGTAAGAGATACCATGTTTATCAAAACCACCATCCATCAGTAGACAGCTAGTGATGTGGACAAAGCAGCCTCTGAATGTGGGAATCTATGAATTTCAACAGACACTGAACATTTTGGTATTTTTTTCCTAGAGGAGTTATGGTAGTGGAAGTTTGTGTTGCATAAGAAGTTTTATTAAAATAAATGAAAATGAAGGAGAGTTGAAAATGGTGACTTCTGAATTAATTTAGTACTCAGTTAGCTTCAATTACATTCTTTCACCTCCCTCCCCACCAAAGTTCCTTAGGTTTAAAGGAAGTTTAAGAGTTTTATAATAAACACCACAGTGTTACCTGCTCATGAAGTAGGTGTTTTGTTTGTTTTACTTTGGTTTGTCCTGGTTTTAATAGTTATTCCTTCCCCTAGGGTGGGTTAGCTAAACAATATTCTCTGATACTCTTTATAACTCACATTCATTCTTAGAAGGGTAAGTAAGCAAGTGGATATTGCCAACACTAGATGTCTATGAGTTGTATTTTTTATTATATAATAATAAATATAATCGTGTTTTATATTTTGTTCACCTGATTAAAAAGTGTATTGGTTCTAGATTTAACCCAAGAGAGAGACTTTTTAAAAAATAAGTCTTAAGGAAGAAAGCATATAAAAATTGATATTGAGACAAAAAACAAGAAACTGGCTAGAGAATATCTTAACTACTACACAACTATTACATGTTGGTTTGGTGCCATAGTGTTTCCACTTTCTCCTTGTATATGAATTTACCAAGTAATGATCTTTTGGAAAATAGAAATTTTGGCAACTAGCATTAATAATTGAATTAAGATAATATATTCTTTAAGATTTCTAAGCAAGTTTAACTTTTTCTGTGGCTTTTCTTTTTCATACATCTATATAACTGTTCAGAAGGCAAAGCCTTTATTGACTACCACTGATTTTTCAGTTTGATGCCATCTCTCCTAGAGAGTAAGTTTTCTCCGGATATGTGGCAAATTAATTCTGGTTATCTGTAGTTCCTAGTGCTGTTGTGGCTTTTATGGGTGTTTTCCTGGGAAGGAATGTGATGAAAATCAGCATATCAGACGTAGCATGCCATCACTGTAATCTGTAAGTGTTATATCTAATGCTGATTACATTTATGAACTTCTTTTAAGTAATGATAATCTAAAATTCTTTTTATTCCTTTTAGTTACCTCTACAAAGTCCGGTTTTATTTTAAAAACACTTCAATCTATAGCATTAAAGATGGTCCTTTCTATATGTCCCCTTTTAGTAGTTATAAGGGAAAGGAAGTCCCCTAAGCATGATTTTTAGAGTGAAAAATTATGAACTAATACAACATTGTATTAAACTAGAAGTCAGAACACCCAGATACAAATAACTTACATAAAATATAACTACAAGAGTGATCTTGAAGAGATGGGAGAGTAAATTTAACCACCTTGGCCTTGATCTAGTCATGTAGATGAGGGAGAGGAGGAAATCATCTTTAAAGCTCCTTCTGGCTCTTAGTCTGTGGTTCTAAAAAGAAAAAAGCCTGATTTTTTTTCTCTAATTTCCACTGAAATCATTGGGAGAAATAATCTTATAAAGTAAGTCAAAATAATGCTAATTAATGGGCTTTATGAAATCTTGATTTTTTAAGGAAGGTATAGCCCTGGACAGGTCCTTTATTGTTTTCATTTGAAAGAGGTAGATCTGGGAACTTAAAATGCTAAGAACCAGATTCAGTTAAACAGTCTGGGAAAAAGCTAGAAAAGAAACGAATGCCCACCGTTTGCCAGGTATTTTTCTCACAACTCTATAGACTAGATATTGATTTTCTCATTTTGCAAATGAGAAAATAAAATTGCACATATTCACTAGTTTGCTCTGTATCACATATAGGTAATAAATAACAGAGGCAAGGTTTAAGTCTAGGTAAATCTAAATGAAGTACATCTGAACAAAGCTTTTTTTATTATTCCACATTCAAATTTTGAATTGCTAAAGAGAGGTATGAGAAGCTTAGGAGGATGACTTTAAAACTGAAATTACTTAGAGAAATTTGTTTTTAAAGGACAATGGGCAGCACTTCACTGGGAATTGAAAGGAAGGAAAAGAAAAACCTAAAATGTTGAATATTAATAGAACGAGTTAAGTATAAAACTATTTTTTGTGATTCATATCAAAGAGAAAGTACTAAACAGAGGAATTACATGGCTTATTCAAGGTATCGTTTTAAAACTCAGTCACGTTTAAGTAAGTTTAGTCAGTCACATTTGAAATAAGCCAATTTTAGGATTTTGATTTAGGATTTTGGTAATTAGCCATAATAAATGTCTAAATGATAAATGAAGAAAAGAAATAGAAAGCGGTGGGAGAATACCAAGATTTAATGAAATTTAATTAGCTTAGAAATATCTGCAGAAAGTGTTCTTCCTATTTTAGGGCAGAACATGTCTCATAGGCAAAAAGTAACTGGTTCTCCTGCTGATAAACTGGATACATCGTTTATCAGCTTTCTAATTAGTGGAATCTCCTAGAATTTCTTAGGGTTGACAGTCCTAAAGCATTGTAAGGACTGGTGAGAAACAACCTTAGTTATGATTGAACCATATGAAACTTTCTTCTAAAGTGCTTTTAAAGAACAATAATTAGCAGAAAATTAAAGGAAAATGAGAGCTATTGAAACAACAAAATTGGATCAGAGCCAAAACATGAGCCTAATAGAGAGGAAGGGACTGGGATCATCCTTGGGGAAGCCTCTTGGCCTCAGGGAGTTATTTTTCTATTTAGGTACTTGGACCATCTCCAAATATGCCTTATTCTACCAACTTGACTGAGAGGTTGTTTTGGCTCCTGTTGGTTAACCAACATTTGGAGACAGAATGAAGCAAATGTCATTTTGGCAACCTGAGCAGGAGAGAGGGAGCTGTGCAAGTCAGCTCTAGAATTAATTAATGGGTTTTTAAAAAGAGAGAAAAGGAGGAATGAAGGTTTTGATGAAATGGAAAGCCGTATTTGTCGTGGTTCCAGAAAAAGAGCCATTTGAATTGCATGTCCTCCTGCTGTTTGGCCCTTTCTCAGAGGTGAACAATGAATCAGATGTATTTCTGTGGACCCTTTCTTATTCAGAAGATGATTAGTTTGAAACTCAACCAAGCAACTTATTTCTTCTCTTTCTTTTGGTGCCTGACTTCTGACCATTTTTCTCGTTACTACTATGAGAGGGACATTAAAAAAGACAAAGAAGTCAATTTTGATTATTGAAAGCAGTTACAACATGGTTTATTGAGTTTAGTAATGAAAATATTACATAAAACAAAATATCTTTATTCTTGTGGCATTTAAAAATTTGTTTTATTTCTACCCTATTGCTTTATGTCTATATGTAGATACATCTCTAAGCATTTAAAAATTTTATTCATCTGAAAAAATTAGCTTTAATATAAATTCTGCAATGTTGTCATGATGAGATCCTCTTCCTATAACTACTAGATACTGTCTTTGGCTTAGAATTCTTGGTTAAGTTCCTGTTATTTGTAATAATTATACACAGATGAATGTAGAGTCATAGCTATGCTGTTTCCATGATTTTTTATTATCCCAATAACTACAGTGTCTTTTCTAAACATTTTTCTTTAAATATTAGGCTTTCTTTATGACCCCATCATTTATAGAATCATTTAGAACTCTTGTCAGACACCTTTAATTCGTAGTAATAGTGCACAGTATTGAAAGATACGTGGAGAAAAATATAATCAACTTCTGCTTAGTTGTCAAGATGTTGACAGCTGTTGTGAAACCTCGGTTCTTCTTAGTTTAAAAGAACTTAAGAGAAACACAGCAAAGGAGATGTAGCATAGAGCAATTTATTGCAAAGGAAAAAGAATATTGTGAAAGTTAGGTGCAGAATAGCCAGTACACCCTGAGAGAGGATTCAGAGCAGGCTGCTCCTAAGGATGAGACCACCAAGACTGGCACTAGGGAGACTCCCTTTATGGGAGTCTTACATGATTATTTATAAGGGAATGGGAAGAGCTGTTACTAGTAAGCATGTTCTGGGTGGTCCTCTGGGTGCACGTGCACAGTAGCTGTACATGCCTGTTCATAAGTTGCATGTCTCATTAGCATCTTAAGTCTCCACCCAGGGGTGTGCTTTTTACTATTATAATGAGCAAAGGCTTAGTTTGAGGACAGGTAAAATCAAAATGCACATGCTCCCTCCAGGGGAAATTTCCTAGCTGTGCTTAAATGAACTTGACTACAATGTGAATTCTGGGGCTTACTGTGTTAACCATACATTCGCCACAGTTGCCAAATTCCAAGCACATGTTAATTCCTTGACTACCTATCCTGCCTGAAAGAGAGATGGGTAATTGAAATGAATTTGTAAAATGTCAATCCCAGTTATTCTTTTAGCTACATTTCACATACTACATGTTTGCTAAAGTGGTCTTAGTCTTTTAGAACAGATGTTAAAAAGTGAATGTTCGACTTTAATATCTACAGTTGTCAAATATTCTAATAAGAAAAGTCAAGGTGTACAACTCTCCTAACTGTAAATAAATCCATAAATCAGGAGCCCAGTGGTTGAGAGTGTGGACTCTGGAGTCAGACTGCCTGGGCTTGAAAGCTGGCTTCACCACCTTGGGCAGACTCCCTAGCCTCTCTGAGCCTCAGTTTCCTTATCTCTAAAACAGAGATAATGATAGTTTCCACCATATAGACTATTGTGAAATAAGTACAAGACACTTAAAACAATCCCTGGTACATTGTAACAAGTAGATATTAATGATGGTGCTAGATAATGATGGATAATTGTTTTGTGTGTCCAAACAGTATATGTTGTTTTGTTCACTTTTTCCTCTTTATCCTCTCACAACCCATATATGTCAAAAACTAAAAGTTGGCCGGGCATGGTGGCTCATGTCTATAATCCCAGCACTGTGAGAGACTGAGGTGGGCAGATCACCTGAGGTCAGAAGGTCTAGACCAGCCTGGCCAAGATGGTAAAACCCCGTCTTTACTAAAAATACAAAAATTAGCTGAGCGTGGTGGCGAGTGCCTGTAATCCCAGCTACTCTGGAGGCTGAGGCAGGAGAATCACTTGAACCCAGGAGGTAGAGGTTGCAGTGAGCTGAGATCCTGCCACTGCACTCCAGCCTGGGTGACAAGAGTGAAGCTCCGTCTCAAAAAAACAAACCAAAAAAACCCACAAAAAATGTACTCTCTAGCTCTTACAAATGTGCAGTCATGTTTCATTTAATGACGGGATTCCATTCTGAGAAATGCATCCTTAGGCGATTGCATCATTGTGTGAACATCATAGAGTGTACTTACGCAAATCTAGATAGTACAGCCTACTACAAACCTAGGCTAAATGATAGAGCCTATTGCCCCTACTCTACAAACCTGTATAGCATGTTACTGTACTGAATACTGTAGGCAATTGTAACAGTGTTAAGTATCTGTGTATCTAAACATATCTAAAAATGGAAAGGTATAATAAAAATATCATTACATAATTATTTGGGACCACCATCGTATATATAGTTCATTATTAACCAAAACGTCATTATGCGTCATGACTGTATTTTAAGATCCTTTATTAATCTGATATAATCTTGTTAATTCCTGAATGAAAAATATTTGCGAAGATCTTGTCCTCCTCTAAGTTCTAAAATGGTATCGTTATATTTACCGATCAGTAAATGATGGGGTAAATGTTAGCTTCAAATTAAGTATGTTATATACCTGTTACCAGTGTAAGTCTGAATATTACCATGTTGTCATAGCCAAAACCTACTGGCCAATCCATTAATTAAATTCTGATTGTACTTTTGTTAAGATTATTTGTTTTATATAAAGTGATAAGCATTCATTTTGTTTCATATTAGCAATCTAGGCTCAGCCATTTTAGACATATGATATTACTGAAATGACTTTTTAGAATTAAAGTCTACTCAGTGATTTCTCAATAGTTCCGAAATTTACTACTTATTTTTCTAATCTCTTATTTTCAGTGAAAACAGATATATTTTCAGGTATCCAAATATATAACTAACAAAGGTATAGGAAATTAACATTGTAGCAATTGTTTCATATAACTACTAAATGTATGCTTTTTCTGAAATGGTATTGTTGGTTGTTATTAAATCTATATTTCAGATTTGAAGTTAATTAATATTAGTATTTTTATTTATAAAGTCAGTATTTTGAAATGCAATCCACTTTTATAGGTAAAATTCGGGTAGTTTTTCCCCAAAAATGAATTTAAACTAACAATATTCCTTGGAGGGGACAAAAATTCATTAACTGAATCATCTAGTTTGTTCCGGTTTACTTAAATTATTTAATATTAAAAATGTGAATCCTTTATTGTGATTTTTTTCCTTTAAAGTTCCATCACTATCCATAATTTAAAGTTTCCATTTGCTCTTAAAGTTTATACAGTTTCAGGATTTCTGTATAATTTTTAAACTTTAATGAAGTTTTTTTCTAAAAATGGTTCTATTTAAATGGAAAGCAGAATCTTGTCCTTTTTACTGGAGGAAGGGATTGCTACAGATACACACTACCTTTTAGTTATTGATGTAGAGATTATTGGCTGTAATTATTAAAACTTTATCAATAAGAAAGGTGGAAAATATAAGATACTACAAAATAGAAGGAGAAAATTTATGTAAATTATATTTTATCACTCTTCTGGCTCCAGTTATAATTGAAGTGTCTCATAAGAAAACTACCTTCTGTTGTATAATATATCAAGTATAATAAGTTAATAACATACCAATATTTTAATTTCCCATTGTAACTTTTATTTTGCCACAGAATATGTAGTATGGGTTTTTGGGGGGAGTGAGAGATGTTCTTTCTTAGGAATATTGAATTACCATGCTGCATTTTATAAGTCTCACAGGCAATTCATTTATCAAGTAGTTATTTAATTGAGTATAGGCTTCTTCAGACAAACTTTAGAAACCAGAATGTTCAGATAGTAATTTCTCATCAGTTTAAAGATAGCATCTGGTCTTCATGGATTTATTTCTGGGGCACATGGCAGTTTTAATTTGATAGAGTAATTGTTTATATAAACGAGGTTTTAATGTACTTGAAAATTCTCCAATTGCTTCACTTTATTTTCTGATGCTGTCTTTTTCTTAGGGTATGTATATTAAATCTACATATGATGGCCTCCATGTAATTACTGGAACCACAGAAAATGTAAGTATTTTAACCTTTCAAATTTTTATGTGCGTTTTTCCCTTTCATTGCTAACAATTTACATATCTCACATGATTGAGGTTAACATCTAAGGATAAGGACATGAACAGATAGTAGATACAATTTAAAAGAGATACTGAGTTAGTCGTATTGGTTCTGTTCAAATTTCACTTTTTTGTTGTTTAGAATAGCTGTTTACTTAAAGTAAATCAGGTGTTTTCAGCCAGAGATTTGTCTTTGTATTTTCTGATTCATGACAAGTTATTGTGACATCTGAAAGAATTCATTTCCATCTGTCAAATGATTTGGTTATTTAAAGAAACTAAACTCATGTAAGAAATAAATATCAGATAAGTCAGGTTTTCTGAATACTTCCAGTGTAACTCAGCTTAATTCAGTGGAAGGGCAGCATGGTAGCTGAGTGATTTTCACAGTGACATTCCTGGACACCAGTATTAGCCTCCCTTGGGAACTTGCTATATATGCAAACTGTCAGGCGCTACCCCAGACCTACTAAATCAGAAATTCTGGAGACCAGCCTATTTCTTAATAAGAGATTCTATTTTAACAAGTGAATCTGAAGCATATTTGCAAACCACCATAAGCAGTGGGTCAGAAGTCCACAGGCCTATGTCTTACAACCAGTTCTGCATCTTAATGGCAGTATAATTTTGGGCAAGACATTTAACCTCTCATTGCTTCAATTTCTTCGACTATAATTGGAAACAAATTATCTGCACTACATACCTCACTAGGTTGTAATGAAAATTTAATAAGCTAAGAAAGGCCATGCTGTAGAGAACTATCTGTGTTATAGAGAGAGAAGCATGAAGTGATCATGCTGGATGTTATTAACATGATCAGTGTGATAGAGTTGAACAGCGTAATACATCATTATTCTTGCATTTGGTTATTTCAGATTTCCATTCTATTATTATATAAGCAGGTACTGAGCTTTGAATGTATTAATTTTTTTTTCTTTTAGAGATTCCGACAATTGCATGCTTATGCTGTGCTATTTTAAAGAAGACTGAGGTGGAATTAGTTTAATCTCAAATTATTATTGATCTGAACATTTTACCAGCATTTGCTTTTTGAAAATCAACATTCTTTTCATGTAATTCCCCTATTTAATCACTTACTGATATTTTTCCCTGCTTCTTTTGGTTTCTTGTGAAAGGTGAAACACATAATATATATTTGCAGTTGGAGTGCAGGAGCAGCTTCACATTTGGTATTAAATATGAGAGTCTTAAGGGATCAAGACTATCAGTAATTTGCATATTACGAAGATTTTAACAATTTTAAATGCAGTTAAGATGCTACAAACTATATGCTTGTCATCGATTGTTCGTTCTGATTTATTTATTCATTCATTTATTCATTTGTTCATTTAACAGACCTCTGCTTCATGTCTGCTGTGTTTCAGGCATGGTGCTAGGTATTGGAAGAATTTTAAAATAAACTAGTTTGGTGCCATCAAGGTGTGGAGAGCATGTGGGGGTTCATCTTTATAAACAGTGGTGTAATTTGCATGGATGGACAAAGGGAAGAATAGTAAATGCTGCCAAGTGAAATCAGAGAAAGAATCACAGAAATGGTTATTTTGAACTGTGTCTTGAAGAATTGGTAGGAATGGATCTCTCTATATTGTCTGGGGTCTGCAAAAATGTGTTGAGCACTATGTCTTGCTCATATTACTCACTAATGTTTGGTGAATAGATAAGTGATCAAAAGAAAGATTGAGTCCGAGAGTAGTTCAAATATGAACCATATATTAATAGTTCATCTTTGGATTCTTTTTTTTTCTTAAAAATATTTAAGTATTTTTGGTAACCTCAGTCATTTATAATTAGGATATCTGTCTTGAGTCTTAGTAAAGCTGCTCACTAGAGTGGGTAAGTTATTATGCCTTGCTGTGCCCTAGTTTCTTAGTTTTCTTATATGTGAAATGAGGCATTTGGACAAAACTCTATCTCTAGGATGTCTTTTAAAACTAAAAGTCTATAATTTATATGACTTCTTTACTTACCTGTGCAAAATGTTTCAGTTTCTTTGAATTTTATGTACTATCATTTTCTTCTGCATAATGACTAGAGCCATTTGCTGGATACTTTTTCTATACTTTCCTTTAAAAAGATCAGTTGTGAACTAAATACCACAGGAACCAACTATAGTTACAAATATATTAATGATTTACAGTCTTCAGAATTGTTTCATGATACTTGTCTGACTTGGTAATATGTCCACCTCCTAAAGGTGCTGTGAGATAAAAATATTACTGTTATGACACTATTCTTAGAGTTTTTATTGTAGATTAATCTATCCCCTTAATAATGTACTTGTGTTATTACTTCAGTAACTAGAACTCCCTGGTATGTTGTCTTATCTTGAATTATAGCCTATGACAAATATTTTTATTGAATTTTAAAAATGTGTTGAATGGAGGTTAACATTGTTTTAAGACTTATATGTTTTAAAAATAATTGGAAATGAATAAAAAAGTAACTGGAAATCACTTTTAAAGTATGTCCTACTCCAGGGTCTCAAAAGTAGCATTTTACTTTGCAGACTATATTACCATATTATTTTTCTTTAGCTTTCAGTAGATAATAATGAAGAGTATCACAGCATTTATGGTTGTGTTTGATAGATAAACACATGCACATCTATCTAGACAAATACATTTTTATAAAAATAGATTTTGTGTATGTTCAAAAGCATATTAAAATGCATGTAATCAATAATTAACTAACAGAAGAAAAATATAATATTTTAAATTCATTACTCAGACCTGCAATATAAAATTTCTATCTTAAATCTCATTTTAATTTCCTAAAAACTCCTTAAAACTTGTCAGTATTAGCTTATCAAGTTGTTCTTTTGTTTGTTTTTGTTTTTAATCCCTTATGGGAATAAAGGAAAAAAGTGTTAGATTATTACATTCTATAGAAATATTAGTTTATTGAATGTGGTTTTACTGTCCAGTGTATTACACTATATGTAACATGAGAAATAGCATCCTCTTATAAGTAGACACTTAGAATGTTATGTAATATGATTTGAACTAATTGCTGTCCATCTTTTAATTTACTTTGCTAGATTATTGAGAATTAGTGTTACTGATGAAATAAATTAGCAATTTAATTATCAAACTTCAAATATTTGATGCTGATCATATTCATGTACTTGAAAATATCGATTTGTTGAAGTTAATGTGAATTATTTATATCAAATGGAAAGGATCAAAATACAAAAAGATACAATTTTTTGAAATGCATTTTTGAAGCGGTTACCCACTAGAACCTAGGAGAGTTGCTTGTATAAAGTTTACAAAAGTTAATACCAATTATCATTTTTTCATAATGCTCTCAGAAACGTGTTATTCTTTTATAACAAATATCTGTATGTTATTTTGCATTTCTGGTTGTTGTCATTAGCTATGCATAGGATGCAAACTATTTTTTATTAATTTTTTCTTTCTGTATTTATTAATTTAACTGGCTCAGAAGGTAAAAACAATGTATTAAATACTAATAATCATTTTTATTAGTTTGATTCCTTGAAATTTTTAATTAATTTTTAAATCTAATTTATGGAGATGAACTTTTTGTAGTGTTTCCAGAGACAGGAAATGACTGATAAAATTTATGTTCTTTATCATTTCTTTTATATTAAATTCAGTCACCTGCAGATCGGTGCAAGAAAATCCATGCTGGCGATGAAGTGATTCAAGTTAATCATCAGACTGTGGTATGTATAATTACCTTAAAAGTCAGTGGGAGGAACTAATTTTGATTTGCTAAAGCTTTAAAAGAATGCCAATGAAATGAAATTCCTGTTTGTATACAAAATATTGAACAGCCTTTTGAAAAAAATAACTGAATATTGATTCTTCTTAATTATTTGATGGAATGTAAAGCATTTTTTTAAAAGAACATGAAGAGGATTGGTGATGGTTGAGGTTATATATACATTTCTATATGGACAAGTACTAGGTAATAGTACATATTCCATGAACTGGAATAACAATTTTAGAATAGAAATTAAAGTGACAGTGTATATAAATTCAACCTTTTCTTGATACAACTTTTTAAAAGTTTCACTTTATAAATTATTGAATTACCTAGTAGATGTTTTATAACAGCATACATCCATTTATCTAACATTGACTCAAAGTTCATTAAAGTATCTGGTGGTTTTGGGGGGAGTATTTTAAATGTAGATCTTTTAAAATTTTTAAATTTTTAATAGCTGAATTAGCTTCTTATTTCCTAAAAGAGGACAGCAGTTTTAGTTTTAAAAAATGTTCTTGCCCTATGAACCTCACAAATCCCTTTGTTAGCTACCCTTAAAAATCTACAATAGGCACAGAATCCCACTGTCATTTTTTGTGATAGTGGGATTCTGTGCCTATTGTAGATTTTTAAGGGTTATTTTTCTTAATCTTAGATTTAGAAAATGAACATTATATGCTTTTCATTTTGGACTATTTTATATGTCTCAGTTGATTCACTTTTTTCCACTCTCTCTGCCAAATAAAGTATATTATCTTAAAAAGTTAAAATAATCTAGAATTATTAATATCATAACTCATTTGAAAAAATGCAGATTTTTTATTAGTATTCTATTCCTTCTCACTAACTCATCAGAGTGAGTAATTATTTCCTATTACGCAATTTAACTAAATTCGCTCTTGCATGTCCTAGTGATGGAAGAAAATTTGTGAAAAGCCTGATTTTTCTCAATGATTCTAATCATAAGGCAAATGACATTTCAATTTTTGTTTTGAATAATTTGAGAAGTTTGTGGTATTTTGGAAAGGCTTCTAAACTCTGATAATTAAAGCCATGATATCTCCAAGTTCATTATCTAAGTGAAGCAAAAGTTGGTAAACGTTTTCAAAATTAAATGCGTGGGTGCACCTTTGACACTGAATAATAGAGTGTTGGTAGTAGACAAAGCCTTTCCACACTGTGACAGTTTTGATGGCTTTCTTTTCTGATTACTAGAAACTGTACAAAGTGGTTGTTCTGATTGAAGTTTCCTGTCCCATAGGATGAGGATTTGGGCAGTGGGATAAAGCAGCTGCTTCAGTAGACGAGTAGCTTTTCCCTCTTCTAATGTTCATGTGACCTTAACAAACATGACATCTGTTTCAGTAGTTGCAGCACGCATTTCCAGATGGTCAGTAAGAGGATAGAAATTAGTCTCTAATAAAAATAAAATTATTTAAAGGATATTGTTTGTGGAACAAAGACACTGGTGTTTATGAAATGAATATGAAAGCCTTTAAAAGTCTACAAATAAACTAATAAAATCTATGTGGATTGATGACATTTAAATACACCTAGAATGTGTAAATGCTTCTTTACATCACAGGAATATTCTAAAATATTGAAAACTACATAGAATGATGTTTGGGGAAACTTGGTTCCAGTTCTTGCTCTGAAATTGACTTATGGCTTTAAGTGAGTCATGGTAACTGCATCTGTTTACCTTTTTCTAATGATAATAACCATAGCTAACACTTATTGTGTTCTTACAGTGTGCCAAGCATCATGTTAAGTATTTTACATATTTTATTTCATTTAGTCTATGCAATAATCCTGCAAATAAGGTGTATATAGAAATTGAGACTCAGCATAATTATTCAGCTCACCCAAAACTCAAAGCTCTTTGACTCTAAGACCCATATTCTTACTTCAATTTTATTATACTTCCTCCCAAAACTCAAAAATTGTGTAACTATCCAATAAAAGAGGAAGAATCCTAACAAGCACGTAAGTAAATCTCAGGATTCAATGAAAGATTAAGTGGGGCCAAGGGTAAGAGAAGAAGAAAAGAAGTGAGAATTTATGTAGCTGGGCTAGCGAGCCAGCTGAACTGAAATTAGAAATAGGGTTGAAACTTAACTTTACTGCCACTTCCTCACTCTGCTTCTTTCACTCAGATAAGTAAGATATGTAAAACACCTGTCATAATGTCGGGCACACATTAGGAGCTCAATAACAATTAACTTTCCTACCTCCTTTCTTCTCTTTTACCTGCTACAGCAGTTGGACCAATTCGAATCCTCTTTCTTGGCATACTGCTGCTAGAGCCAACAAATTGATTTTGGAATGTAACAGAGACACGATAGTATGTTGAATTTCATGAAAGTAGCCTTTTTAAATAATATGATCAGTTGCCAGGTTTTTTTTGTGTTCAAGTAGAGGCATATTTGGGCAAAACCGATGCATTTCACTAAATGTAGCCTACTCTGCTCTCTTTTTCTTGATGTTACCTGTATTGTGGTCTGTACAATGCATTTAATCTCTTATTAGACAATATACAGAGGTGGTGAAATGGAAATTCTCTTAATTGAAACAAGTATAAATTATTTATAGTCTGCAATTATCCCTTCTCTCCCTACATTCATTACCATAGGGTTTGGTTATGATATAATAGTTACATTAAAGTATGGCCTAATAAATTTGAAATACATAATTAATATTAATTATCTAATCCATTAATTGACTAGAATAGTGAGATTGCCAGTATTGTTCCATACCAATTTAGACTCATTAATGAAAAGAACAATCTTAAATCTTATAATTTTGGATGATACTAACCCAGTTAGTATTTTTCTGTAATTCTAAAATTTCCTATGACTATAGGTAGTAATGTAAAATATAAAATGTGATATTTTTCTTTACTTGAGATAAATACAAAAATTATTTTAAATATTTCCCTAAGAGTCTGAGAAAGTTGAATAAATCAGATGAATTCAAATACTATTTTTTTACATTGCTAGTATGGTATATCTTCAAGATGTCTAATTAGATGTCTATGTTTCTAGTTTGCTCCTTTTTTAAAAGTATTTTCTTATTTGAAACGAAACTGGAAGTTTTATGTCCTTTTTCATGTTGCTATATTCTTTATTATAAGTGGCTTTTAAGTTTTTCAAACCAACATACTTCTATGGCTGAGAAACTGTGGCTGCCAGATAGGAAGAAGAAAAAATCATGAACATCCAAGCAAAGCAGACTGAGTCTTATTACATGTCTTCCCCACCATTGAAGATCCAACTCCTCAAAGGCTGCTGGAATCTCCCAAGATTTTTTCCACTTCATCTGCCACTACATCCCTCTCTCTGGGAGATACCTCGGCATAGTTTGATGCAGCAACTCTGCCCTCATGATGCACTTTTAACACATTTTTTTTTAGCTGATGAGACTACTTATAGTTATTAAAAATATTGGGGAATATTTATAATCTGTTCAATTTCATGTTAATACTCTTTTTGGTGTGCAAGAGTTCTAAAGATTCTATCCATACTAAAAACAGTCTCTTAGTAATATCACTTGAAAAGAGTGGCATATATGATGGTTTAATCTATTAATAACATTTGGAAATTTTTCCTTTTATTTTGTATAAATATTAAAACTTATTCACTGTTATTTTGAAAGGTATTCTGGAACCTGACGACTACATTATGGCAAGAAATGGTTCAATAGATGAGGCTATAAAGGATACTGGAATGGAAAATAACCAGGTTGGGATAGTCAAGAAGAAGATAGACTGCAGCAAATAGGATATTCTACATTGATTAGTGAGAGATGGAAGATAAGTACTATAAGCTAGTGGTTTTTGCTACCTCCAAAATGACAAACATAGTTGAGCAAGGCTAGGGATGGCAGAAAGTGTGGGAGGAGGGAACAGATTGAAGGACTATCTCAAAACTTCATCTAACTTCATTTATGTGTCTCCCTTACTCTCACTCTTGTCTCTCATTTTGGACTCTGTCCTCACTTGTTCCTTCAACCCCAGAACAACAGGAGAATATTGTTCAAAGGAGAAGCCAACATAATCAGAATGAATGGAGAGTGTGGTAACCCCTTAATGTTCATCTCTCCTTTTCCCTCCATCTCAGTTTACCTCCTTCCCTGGACTTCAGCAGAAATGAATGAGTCATTGAGTGGAATCAATACCATGATGATGTCTTAACAGCAGATGTACTTACTTTCTCTTTTTAATTTGCTAAATTGTTGTCTATTTTTTTTATTTTCTTCTAATTCCATTTTCTTTTCTTTATCATTCTCATCTCTTCTCACTGGACTATTTCTCCTCCACTCTTCATCTCATTAAGTTTTATTTATTCTTGCATATTCTGTTCTGCTTTCTCAGAGTAGAAAGTATTTATCATATAATTCCATATACCTAAGATATTGAAAACTGAGACCACAAGGGGCAGTATTTCTGGTGTACCCCACATCTTATTCCTGTAAACACGCATGTTTATGGACTACAGAGATTAATTATGTTAGCATGGTGTTTAACATATTGCCTAATAAATAATGGGTTCTTATAATAGCCTAAAATAACTGTGTTAGAATTCTATGAAATCGGTATTCTAAAATAGAACAAGTGAATCATTCTCTTTTGGAAGGGGGAAAAATTATGAAGAGACATTTACCAAAAATTAAGGAAACAATACATCAGTGATTTCAGTTACTCATAATAATATTTTCTTTCAGATTCTACCATATATAGTAGATAGTTTATGAGAGCTTCATAGATTGTTTTACTTTTATTTCACATTGAACATTATGGATTTGATGAGAATGTGTGGAAACTGGTTTTGAAGTGATACATGTTGATATAAACTGTATTTTTATTTTGTACAGAGAAATCAATTTATTACTTTATCATCCAATATATTTCATGTTTCTGTCATCAAACTAAAATTTATTATCTTAAGTCCTTATATA